ATTAGAAAGCAGTAGAGATAAAAGAAGAAATGCTGGAGGGTGAATGTATTAGAAAGCAGTAGAGATAGAAGAAGAAATGCTGGAGGGTGAATGTATTAGAAAGCAGTAGAGACTAGAGATAAAAGAAGAAATGCTGGAGGGTGTGGGGGAGAATCTTTATCCAGTATCTCGGTGTCTCTGCAGGGATGATGTATCCCTCTCCGCCCCGCTTGGCCCTGACAGACAGGGTCGGGAACCTTCCTCCTAATGATCCAAATTGGGTTGATGGGGGTGTAAAACACCTACTTTTAAACAACCCAAACTGCCGAGCGAGGTTTCTGGCAATGTCGAGGTTTTTGAAAAAATGGTTGTATTTCAGGTTCGACTGGAGAACAAAGACGCTAGTGTAGTGGTTAGGCACTTTGTCGTAGCATACACAAGACTCAAGTTCCATTCCCATGGGAGGGCTGTTTTTTACTAAGTATCTGCCTTTCTGCTTTGACTTTGTAGCCCTCTCAGCCCTGTGTTGCTTGTGCCGTAATAATCTGAACAAACCGACTAAAATGCCCAAACTGTTTTGTTTTTCCTCCCCCTGTCCTCAGTCTCTGATGGAGCAGGCCAGGTACTTGCATGTCCCACTTGGCAATGTGCCGGCCGACTTCACCATGTTTGGCTGCGACCTTTTCCTGGCGCGTCTGCTGGCCAAACACAACCACATCATGTGGGCGTCACCCACCAACCGCCCAGATCTTGGCGGGAAGGAAGCTGACGACAACAGGTGAGTTCTGGAATGTACCGTTGAAATGAGAAAATTCCTGTGATGTATTTGTAATGAATGACCTCAAAATTAGCAAATTGTACAATAGACCTCTGACTTAAATGCATTTAAACAAGTTTGCTAGTCTTTAAAAAAACATTTATATCTTACTCCCACCTTCGTAAAACTCTTCGTAAAACTTTAAAAACTCTACCGTGCCATATTTTAACACGCTGTATTTGACAAAACACTGTAATGTGCACAGAACAATTTATCTCGCTGCGGCTGTATTTGCCAGGCTGTGTATGGAGCTAGAGGAGAGCAGCGTGGTGGAACTGAACAACCCGGGAGCCTACAGCAGCGTCTGCGTCGACCTTGAGCTGACGAGTCTGGCCGTGAACACCATCGTAGAGGTCAGTCTCTTCTAGCAAGTTTTACAGCACTTGCAACACTAATAGGTAATATAATAAAGGATGAAGATTAGAGGTCTTACTGGAGAATAATGTACTGAGGAGGAGGAGAGATGAGGACGATAGATGTTTGATGGGAAAGAAGGAGGAGAGATAAGGACGATAGATGTTTGATAGGAAAGAAGGAGGAGAGATAAG